GTCGAACGCAAAGTGAGTACGGAAAGAGGAGATCATTAAATATTACGGACAAAGTACCCCGTTTACTTTTGCGTGGAGGTTCCAAGTGCGGAGAGTTGAAAGGAGGAAAGAGAGGAATGGATGGGTAGAGGTGAAATTGTAGGAATTGTAGGAATTGCAGGGCTCGAAATCGTCAAACGGAACGCTAAGGAAGCTCTTATCGGATTTTTCCGCGGCAAATCCCTTCGAACTATTTAAATCGCACTGCCAAGTATAGCACATACCCACGTAATTCGCCAGAACTATGCGGAAAGTATTCCGAGCGGAAACGAGGGAGCGAACTATTTTGCGTTCTATACGCAGCCGGGGAGATCCGCCGACCGAGGAAAAGCCACAGTAACTCTCCGCGGCAACCTCGAACGAATTGAGACGAAATTGCTACGGCGGGAACGACGGCTTTATTCGAAATAGGATATTCCTGGAGTTTCCCGGTCGGATATACGAAAGAGCACTTGATCACGTAATTAATTATTTAGTCGAGAGAATATCTTCCTACATGCGAGTACATCATGCTTTCCATTGTAAGTATTGGAAAGTCCACTACGTGAACTTCATAAACGAATTTGTCAGTTTTTGACATCTGTATATAAGTAAAATGTTTGCCCATTGTTTGACATTATAAATGATAGTAAATGTTACACGTTAATTAACCATTATCTATAATTATCGTTATTATATGTGATAAATTTGCTATTTAAATTAAACTCATATATCAAATATTCAAGTTAGATGATATCTATATAACTTTCGCACGTATTTAGAGCATGCGTTAAATTTGCAAAGCAAATAAAAATATACGTGATTGTTCGTACTGAAACTTTGTGGCATGTATAAACTTTGGTGAAAACCGATTCGCATTTATTCGCTTTAATTACTAAATATTTTATCAAAGTTATTGTTGTTTTAATGAAATAAATTGCGTGTAAAATCATAACTATAAACAATTTTTACGTTACATATATTTTCGTATTATATTCGTTTCTATATAACTCGTTTCCTCTTTTAGCGCAAATACACAAACATTGTTACAGTATTATCGTATACATTTTTACAGTATATCGTATTTATAGTACGATCTATTATCTACCAGCTAAACCTGCTAAACATATAAATACAACTTAAAACTGATCACAATTTATTCAGTTCGCTTAAACTTCAATATTCTCGACAAAAACCGTTATCGAAGCTTCGAAGATTTCTTTACGACTCTTTCATTACCTTAGAAATTGCACGTCTTTAAAACTCTGGAACTTCTCACGGTAATTAAATCGCGACTCGAATCTCGGCTCGTTCGAATTATCCGACCGAAGTAATAATTTCCAAGTATCTATAGATAATCGATGACACGTCGAGCGTGTACGCGGCTCTGCTCTTATACGTTACTCGAGAATTTTTCAAGCTCGAACAGGATCAAAATGAAAACGTCAGCCAGCGTTTTCACCACGTACCTCACTTAATCGCGCGAATTTTTTTACACGTCTATTCAGTCCCATTCAAACAGTGACAAGTAACAATATTGCACGACGTCCACAGCCGGCCATGACTGTTTTAAAAAGTAGCAATCTGCGTTATGTAACTGGCGCACGATAACAAAAAGGTAACTGACGACGCAAACACTCGCGACATGCGCCGCGGAAACGAAAATAATAATGAATAACACCGAAACATAAACGAGCAATCAGGAAACGAGGATAAAAGTAATAGACATATCCGCGTGGGATCATTGACGAGTGCTCGTTATCGCTTCCATCGGACTTTTATTGGCTGCCCCAGTTATAGTAGCGTACGGCTCACTCCTATTGCCACGCGATTCTCTCAAATATGCCTGCCACCTGCCTGCCAATAACTACGATCGTAGATATACGATTTGCATTCGAGCAAATATGTCACGTCAGTCTCAATCGAAAAGTCTAAAAATAACGAAAACTCCGCGATTGCTTCGGCGGATACGTACCGATCGATCGTGTTGTATCAAAGTGAGAATTTGTTTGTTTTCCCCTCCAACACCTCGTATAAATAAATGCGATATTTGTCATCCGTAACCGATGTTACATATCAAAATCACGCGTATACAAATATATGATCCGAATACAAAGCCGATGACTCCATGAGATATCGCGCATTCAATTGGTCATTTTCATCAATTCACACGCATTGGTATTTTTAATTAAATATTAGTATTATCATTGCACGGAAGTACAATACGGATGCTATTTATTTTAGACACACGCAGGTGCATGGCATTAAATATCAAAATAACTAAACAGTTCGTTCATTGTAATATCAAATAATATTACTAACATTCAATTTTTCATAAAATATTGTATAAATGTATGTAACGTGCGCAAAATCCGTTGTGCAAAAAAAACCTCTAGTTAAAACCTCGACAGTTAAAAGGAGAATAGAGTAGTTGCAACTGAATCTGAAGCTACCACGCTATTTCGTCTCGATGTAACTTACGACGGTATCGCTTTCGTGCCCATAGCCGAGATCTAGATGTATTATCATTTGGCACGCGGTGCTCCGTTTGGCATCCCCGATAGGGATCGACCGTGCGAAAACAAATGTCCCGGAGATATATGTATATCCGTCGGCGGACACGGTGGGCAGGATCGATGTCCCAGTGTACCATTTTGATCATGGCGCATTAAAAGGACGAAAGAGAGTTATCGAAATCACCGTGTATGAAAGGCAGACTAACGAAACTGAAAAGCGGAAAGAAATTCCTAACTTTCCGTGAAGCGATCCTTCGTATCGCATCCGAGTCACGCGCCATCGACGAAATCTCCGCCGTTTTTCGTGAACTCTCGCGCGTCGCACAATGAGCCTTAAACTTTGTACACAATATCAGCACTATATTATAGTCGAATTTCAAGCCGTGATACGGGAAGTATTGCTTTGTCCCCATATATGATTATCGTTTAGACGGTTTATTGCTAAATCGTGTTCGTACACAACGCGTTTCCCCGAAGTTTATAGTTATAAACGAAATACACAGGCACGGATATTAAATCGTTCGCGATCCGATAATCTCGCAAAACGACGTGGACTATGACTGCACGTGCTAGAATTTTAGAGTTGATTTCGGTGCAAGAATACTGCAGGTTTATTATACAACGAATGAGTATTTTGATTTCAAAATTACCGGAGAAGCAGACGTTAACATATATACATACGCAAAATGTACGGTAAACATATGACAAATAATAAGGACAAAGGTTATATTGCGGAAACTATTTGAACTTTTGAAATCCTCTTTGCAGCAGTCATGTCGACTATGCAAAGTCCGATATGAGAGATGTTTTCAAAGTTAATGAACATATTTCAACGACGACATATGCTAAGCGCATGACGTTAGAATCAAAGACCATTTCTGGCTTTGTTAACTTTTTGAACGCAGCAGATAAACTGGAAATTGTAGTTACTTTGTGTATGATTGGACAACAGTTCTACCAGGCTATTATGTGCTTACATGCGGAATGAAATATTCGTTTCATGTTTGCGAAATATTTGATATTGGATAGCGCCGCATCACGGAAAAACTCTGTTATTCTGACATAATTTATAACATGACGTGACGTGACAAAACGGAGTAAATAGATAACCAATATTGAGCGAGTTAACTGATACGCTCGATATCACCGATATTCCAACAATTCCGACGTACGCGCGCGCAAAAAGAAAGCATTGAATATCAAAAAGGCAGCGAAGGAACACTGCAGTTTTTTTGTTCCAACGCGTATATAAAAAAAGAGATCGAAGAATACATACTATACCAGGTATATAGATAGACGGTTTCTTCTTATTAAAACCGTCTGAGTGATATGGCGCTTGTGAAAAATTCAAGATCCAATTCACCTTTGAAATCTCCGGTGAACTATTGGAAGTACGAGTTCTCCATGACAGCGCAGCAATTCCAAGTGTATGCTGACCATTGTTTCTCAGTGGGGATCATAATGCGAATACATAATTCCCGAGCTACTCCAAACTACTACAAGCACTCACCGTCTCTTTACGAAGCGAAGATTAAAGAGCTGTTTCAATTTTCATTTGGTATATAAGTCAGCTTTGTCATGAGTTTCGAAATGTTTCATAACGTTGACTGTAAATCGATTCTCGGCCGTTTGCTTTCCCGAACAAGAATTGAGGGATTAATAATTAGGGAAACAAATTTCACTAATTCGTTACACCGCCTCCTTGTTGCATCAATTTCAGTTCATAAAATTAATATACTTAATAAACTTATAATGTGTAAATATAAGCTTCTTTAGACAATTCTGAAAGAAGAAACAGATATTGAGACAAATTGCCGCTGAGCCGACAAACTAAGATTTTGTTTTCGTTTTTAAAGACAGCCTGAATTTTGGTCTTCCAAAAATATATTTCTCTTTTCTACTTTAAATTTAGTTGCGTCTTGCGAAATGAAAAAGAAAGTACACAATTAACCGGAACATTGACATATGAATTTATCAGAAACTTATTGGCCTCGGCTTACCTGATTTTCAAGAGATATAATCATTATAAATTTACATACCTAAACCACTTGTCTTTTAACTGACTTTTCTTATTACGTTGTTGTAAATTAATATCACGGAATATCTCTTTAACTTTCTCTATACAATTTGTTAACGTTAATTAAAGTCTAAATTTAACTCACCGCCGGAAGCTCGCGTATCGCTTTTGCCCTCAGGAAAGTACTTCGATTACATCGATGTCTTATACGAGCGTCCTTTACGGGACACGTAAGCTTGGCTAACGCGAAACAGCGATATTACGATACCCGGCGCTATCTTCCAAGCATAAAGTAGTGCTTAACAACTGCGTTATTACGTGCTTTACGTTGTCATTTCGTGCCGATCGTGTTCATGGTAAACGCTGCTGGAAAACTCGCACGCGTATACGTACATATGTGCGCGCGAGCTATATATACGTACACGTCTACAAAACAGCTTGAACAATTTTCCAGTCCGAAGTCCATCGTTAAATGAAAAGTCCGATATGCACCGTCCGCCATTTCAAAGTTTTGCGTCGCAGTTCGCCGTTCGGTATCGGTTCATTCAAAGCGTAACGCTCTCTTACGCTCTCGAAATTCCAGATTGTTAAAAAAAATTCTTTCCGCAGTTACGAAAAAAAACTGCTATTCATTTAATTTCTATACGTGTCGTGTTGTTCGGTCACCATTGATCTTTCATCGTATTGTTACGCGCTCGTATCGTACGCTGTAAAATTTGTGACCGCTGCATGCAATTCCACGTTATCCGCATTAAGATCAGGTAAATAAATCAAATAGTTAACGACAAATCTCTCCGCAAGGGATTTTTTACTGTTATATTTTATTTCTCTTTTAGAAACTTTTTTTATAAAAAAATAAACGCATTAAGGTATTAATTAAATTGTTATTATTTGCAGAAACGTCACAGTTATGGAAAATATTAGTAGAGAAACTACCAAACAAGGTAAGTTGTAATTGCTTAATTACTTGTTATTTTTTCTATTTATTGAAGGCCTACTCTTATCTTGCGTATACATTATAAACAGGAAAAGAAGAGCTGCAAAACGATGTTGCGACTGAATTATCAGACAATATCGAAGAGCAACAGAAGAAAGAAGAGCCACTAAAGAAAAATTTCAAATATTATTTTAACAGATTTAGATACTATCATTATCATTGTTCCGAAAAAATTAATTCCTTCATCGCAGTGATATGCATGTGGATTATTAAAATTCAGTTCTACTTAATGGGTTTCAGAATTAATGGACTTCCCTCGATTCATGAAATTGAGGAGGAAAATTATTTAAACGACGATTAGTACCACTATATTATTTCATAATTTCGATTATACTTTATATGTGTGCAATCCAATTAAATATAAAGATAGAACGTAAAAAAATTCAACAAGATATAATTTTGAAAAAAAGAACCAATGAAACCATCGCATTATCCTAATCGAAGCATTGAATGAATAAAGAATTACCTTGATTCTGATTTTTCTTATCTTATTTGAATGACCCGACTTATTCAAAACCTCCCCGCTTCAAATATATTCGACTGTACTGCTGCTGCGGAACTTCAAATATTCACGAACCGATTGTAAAAGATGCAGTCCAATCTCTGCGAGGTGCTACACGTAATGGAAACCCCTTTGAAAAATTTCTCAGTTTGTTGTTATCCGATAAAAGTTGCCTTGCACGGTCACTCATTCGAACATTTTAAATGTTACCTACGAATCTCACGTAGCGCGCCATTGCTTTTTTCTAGCCCTACTTTGTCTCGAAGGAACATGAATACTCTAACAAGCAAACTTTTCTTTTCCGTTCAAGCCACACACGAGTAAATTTTTTAATTCATTTCCGCATTTCACTGCACGTGTGCTGACATTACAAAACTTTTCCTAATGCTCTTCGTGCTGCATTCTGATTGAGATCATTTACGCAATATTCAGAAAGAGAGAGAGAGAGAGAGAGAGAGAGGGGGGGCGAACAACCTTTCAGAATTAAAATAAGTGAAGTATACGGCGGCAGAAAAAAAAAAAGGCTTACGTTAAAAGTATCTATATTTCTGTACGTTTGCTTTTGTAATCATACTTGTAGATAAGTGCGTTTGCATTTGTAATATTACAAAGAAGCGAAGTCTTTGTAAATCTCACAGGGGCTTAAGTAAAGTCTTCTACTACTAGCATTACTATGAACGATATTTGTATATTTTCGTCTTATATTTCAGATCTTAAGTATGATTTTGAAATGCTATATAGGAATAAGATTCATATTTGAGACTTAAGACTGAACATTGCCTTATATCGCAAATATTACAATTTAAATCTATATAGCATTTAAGATAATTGTAAGATTGTACTATGAATATCGCCTTATGACGGACCAACGTTGTAATCTGTGATAAATGATAGTCGCAGCCTCTACGTAGAAAAGATACGTCAAGACCGGATGGAGGCTAAAATGCAACAAAACGAATTCCTCTCGTGAAGACTGGGTCCACGAAATCGTATCTACCGTAGACATATGTATTTTATGCCGAGCGTTATGGCCTCGTGGTTGATACTTGCATTATATCGTACATATAGGGATATCTTCTATATAGTAAATGCAACAACAGCAAGCGACCTATTTCCCCTTCGAGACACATTCGGGAAGAAACAAAATGTGAAACCATATATTTTTCTCGGATAATTTTCGCGTTCAAAACGTTAAATTATCGAATGCGTTAAGAATACGTTGAGAATCTTCTAACTTATGTTTTGAATTAAATATCTCTTAATTTCGAAACCTAAAGTCAGATTACATTTTGCAAATTATTTTCCCGTCTGCGCATTGATTAAATTAAAAAATATTAAAACAACGTAATAATATTGATTAACGACGAATTGAATACATGTATGAAAATTAGTAAGTGACATTAAACAACACATAAATTGCATATATTTATGTACTAAGTAGCGGTGACATGTAAATTGGATTATTGCATACGTTTACATGCATGTGTATATTAACCCTGCATGTGTAATACATGTAATAATAGATAAATTATGAGTGACAAAACAATGAGACGCTTAATTAATATCTCGGACGCTTTTATATGCATACGTAGAATTACTATATTTGATCTGAGTTTATTGAAATATTAATTGTTATTATTAATTATACAAATTGTGGAATATTATAAGTAATTCTTTACTTGTGTGTATTAGACAAGATAATAAATTTAAATTAGTAAATATCAGAAAATAAACTAGCAATCTGTATACGAACTGGACAGAATGTTAAATGAAGTTAGCGAAACTATATGTATCGCCATATCATTCACTAATTATAATGCTTTTATCTCTCTACTGACGCGTACGCAATAAAAGTTATTGCCATTCTTGAACTTTTCGCATTATAACTTTGAATATAAAAAACATATTTCTCTCATGCAAATCCAAGGTAAAATTTATGTAATATTTCACGAAAGTATAAATAATGTTATTATAATATATAGATCAAATATCTCTGCGATGCGAATACATATTTTCACCAGAAATCTTTGGATAACTAATCCATAGGATATGCAAATTATATCGTGCAACATTTGAATATAATATTGGAACAACGCAAATCAAATGTACAAGTATTTCTGTCGGTTTCATGGCTTTGATGCACACATGCACACAAAAATTTAAACGCGCACCCACGTCTCCTACAGCCGTCAGCGCATTGCTGGTACACCCTCCCCTCCCCTCCTGCGGCATGATAATTTATCAGGATCATTCCGGTGGTCGCAGAACGCGAGCGTGAACAGGACACCCGGCGGATTTATGATAACGATAACATTGAATAATTCGTGGCAACGATTGATCGCATGGTCACGACGAGATGCACGACTGATGCGATGTTTCAGTAAAATTGCGCGGGCCCGAGCGTAGGAATTAACGTACGATTAGGCATTTCAATAAACAGAAAATTTCATTAACCGATGACTTAATCGAAAAATTATATTTTTCATTAATTTCGATTTTAAGTTAAAAAGTTAACTATGTGAAAAATTCCAAAGTAATATCTGTGAATTGTGATCTTACATATAAGAGTAGATTCAGAAAAAAAAAGATTGAGTTTGATGAAAAAATAATCACATTATTCTTATTCGTCATTTAAGTATTTCGAAAAATAGACTTTATCAACTTCAATTTGCTTATTGATAAAACACTTAAAGTGCGTCTATTCGTTTTATAGAACGGCGAAGGTAATTGAGAAAAGAAGAGCTCTCAACATTTCAAAGGTCGTTATTACGATTCGCAGACATTAAGGTTACAAACGACACGTCAGCCCTCGCGGCTCGATTTCCACGTATATAACGACGGCATATATCACGCGAAAGCTCGCCCTCTACGTGGGTGGAGATGCGAGAGTAACTTCCGAAAGGCCGATAATCTTTGCCTTAATTGAATGGCGAGGGGAGAAACAATGATTCAAATGTTTGCGACGCACCCCATTTCACGCTTTTCAGAAACTATCTAGGAGATAACGGGGGAAAAAGTGAAGAAAGAGCAGGAAAGTTAGAACGTCTCCGCAAACACAGTAGGGAAACAAGATAGGGAGAAAAAAAGAAAAAAACAGACGGAAGAAAAAAGCAACGAGAGACTATACTGTAAATCCGCAACCTTGCGTCACGACGATTTGCAGTTGTACTGCCAGTAATTACGCGTCACCAAATGCGGCAATGTTTTGCGTTTTATCTGACGCTATCTCGTGACGCTATCTGTTAACCGCTATGTTACATTCCACAAACAGGAGTCGTACGTCTCGTTGAAATCGAGAGATCCCGAAGCAATCAGCCACGATTTGCTACCATCCTGATTACGTTTGAAGGATAAATGGTCTATATACTGTACTGTATACGGTCTACTGTCTATATACTATAACAACAATCTACGAACGATATACATTGTGTCAAAATAGAGTTGCGTGCATTTGATAACGTAATTAGACGGAATAACAAAATTGCATTGAAGACAGATATTTGATCAATGCATATATATAATTGTTTTCTTTTTATGAAATTCACACGCACATTATCACAAAAGCTCTGCTCTATTTCGTGATTAGATCCGTCATGATACGAGACATAATCGTATACGTTAAGATTTGCAATTAATACTTATACAAAAAAAAACCTGTGACTGAACTACTTTAAACTTGAGATTCATCCAAGTCGAAAATTGGGTCGCGTTCATCCCACGATAGAATCGGTGGTAGAAGAAAGAAAGGTCAGGAGTTTACGAATGAGGCGGTAAAGGCGGTTGAAAGAAGAACGACGAGGCCGGGGCCACTTAAGAGCGAAAATTTTCGTCTAAAGTCGACGAATAAATAATTCCCGAACGAGGCATTTCCGTGGAGCAAGGACCCACCTTTCCCTGGTATGAGCCTAGCCACCTCTCCGTCCTCCTTTCGAATTGTGTAGGATGCAGGAGCGACTTTCCCCTTCCTATGGGACAGTCGCCCTTATCACCCATTGATTTACATCTCGAGTTGTTCCTGCGGGAATCCGCCTACCTGTCGCACTCTTCCTCCCGTTGCCCTGTTTTTCCTCGGCGATGCACCGCACCGTGCGTCGCACCGTCTGATTCCCGGTTTTATTTTTTCTTTCGCCAGCCCCAGAGGTACCTTCACCCTTGTTTCCACGAAAAGCCGTCCAGGATTTCCCGGATACAGAGAGTTCACGGTGCACTTTATTATCACGTTAGACGGGAATAAATTAAGCAAACGATGCGCGCGCGCCTGCAATCCTGGCATTCATACAAGATATTTTGCTTGTTTTTGTGACAGTCGTACACAAATCGTACGAATATGGCCAAATCGAGACAAAAATAAAAATATAAACACACAATATCGCAAAATGCTGTAAAAGAAATCATTGTAATCACAAACACAACGGAAGTATCGAATTATCCTCATTTTTCTTTTCAGGGATTACACTCGATCTTCGTCCACCTAATCCACGCTTTCCTTTACGTTTCCAATCGCCACATACTATACTCGCGTCTGCGACAGCGGTACAATGAAAACAAAATGTGTCCTGACAAAGTTTAAGCGATACGGACAATCAGTTCTCAATACGACTCAATCCTTTCGACGAACGTGATTTGACGTTGAAAATTTGTCGATACGTTACGCGCGTTAGGAATTCGGAATGAGAAGAGCTTAAGAAAATGAGTTTCATTAAAGAAATGCTACATTAAGAAATTGCTCTAACCGCAAAATTCTAAACCCGGTGTGGGAAAACGTAGGGTGAGTATCTCATTTAGGATAATTAATACTTCTTACACAATGAGGCGGAACGACCTTCCATTATCACGTAATGATAAAGCATCACAATTTTTCAAACAAAGTAGTATCTTTGTTATATGTATATGTATAATTTACGAATCATTTAGTAATATTGGTAATAACCATAATTGAATGATAGTCGAAAATAAAAATAGCGATTTT